CCATCCCTTCCCATCTGTCCCTTCCCACCCATCCCTTCCCATCTGCCCCTTCCCACCCATCCTTTCCCATCTGCCCCTTCCCACCCATCCCTTCCCATCTGTCCCTTCCCACCCATCCCTTCCCATCTGCCCCTTCCCACCCATCCTTTCCCATCTGCCCCTTCCCACCCATCCCTTCCTATCTGTTCTTCCCACCCGTCCCTTCCCATCTGCACCTTCTCACTTGTCTTCTGTTGCACCTTGGAAATCAGGGTCCTTCCTCATTGCTAAAATCTAGCCGAGCTCACCTGCCCCAACTCCAGGTGGATGAGTGCTGTGGGGTGGGGTGCGGGGATGTGCCCATGGTAGTCAATACAGTCATAAAGCTGCTATTCAGGTGGACAGTCACACATGTGGGGACATGGCAGAGGGACCGCTAAGGGTGGGAAGTGGAAGATCATGAAGGGGCCGTGAGTGGCAGACAGTGGTCCACTGTTTCCAGTACCTACCCTCCCCACCTGCTCCAGGGCACTTCCAGCTTCTCCAAGTTTGGGGCGTTTCTGCGAAAGGAGGTGCTGTTAAACCCACCTGGCACCACGCTTTCACCGCAGAAGTGTATGAGGCCAGATGTGAGGAAAGGGGGCCGGAGGCAACACCATGGACTCTGGAGAATGAGTGGCATCAAAAGCCAAGGCATCTGTCTGCTCATGCATCTGTTGCATTCATTTGTCTGTGTATTTGCTGACACGTCACTGCGGGGGGGAGGCGTGAGCAGAGGTGAGGGAAGAAGAAGTCCTGGTTGGACTTCTCAGGAGAAGCCTGGAAAGTGAAGTAACCTTTGGCCAAAGGACAGGTTCAAGTGCAGACACAGCCCGGAGGGTTATTGCTGGCGGGCCTTTTCCTCTTGATAGTCCTCAACTGGCTTGAGCTCTGGACGCTGCCGATAATGAAGCATGGCCCCTATCACCAGCTGCACAGAGACTGCTGTCACTCACCGGTGCTCACTCTCAGCCAGCAAACCTCTGCTGCAGATGTGCTGTTCAGCCAGACAGACCCAGGACATACCCCGCCTCCCTGCGCCCAGGCCTGGCAGACAGACCCTAGGCCCCATGTCCCCATGGAAGCTCCTTTGTCCCAGAATGGATGCAGGTAGCTAGCCTGCTGCTCACCGCTTGGGGCTTGGGCTTGAAAAGCAATTTCTTTTTTTTAGCCCTGTCTAAAAAAAAAAGAAGACAGAAAACTTCCCTTACACAGTGAAAGCAATAGATTTGCAAGTCCACAGAGCACAGGGAGTCCAAAACAAAATGAACCCAAAGAGGCCCACACCAAGACATGATAATTAAAATGCCAGAGGTCAAAGACAAATAGATAATCTTAAAAGCAGCAAGAGAACAGCAGTTAGTTACCTACAAGGGAGTGCCCACACAACTCAGCTGATTTCTCAACAGAAACTTTCCAGGCCAGAAGGGAGTGGCAAGAAATATTCAAAGTGATGAATTGGAAGGACCTGCAACCAAGATTACTCTACCCAGCAAAGCTATCATTGAGAACTGAAGGTCAGATAAAGAGTTTTCCAGGCAAGAAGTTGATCACTGGCAAACCAGTATTTCATGAAATGTTAAAAGGTCTTCTTTAAAGAGAAGAAGAAAAAAAAGGATAAAAAAATATGGCAATT